CCCCAAAACCCCAAAACCCCAAAACCCCACAACGATATTAAAATATTGAACCAATAAATGTCCGAACAGAACAAACTTAATATTAATGGCAAAAAGATCAGCTTAAAGAATGTTTTAATGGGTGTGGATAAGCACAAGAAAGACTCCCAATCAAGGGCTAATAATTTACTTTCTTCCAGCACATTTCAGGGTAAAATTGATTATTCAATCGAACTGAATTATATAGAATTTTCTGTGTTTTTATATTAATACATTGCTATTACTAGAATTTTCTACTCAAAACAATTACCGACCTAAATCTCAGTGTAAGTTTATGGTACTAAGATATTGTGCGCTAATTTGATATTTAGTCCTCTCAAGAAATGATTACAATACCAACACTCCTTCCAATCCCCACAACAGGGTAAGAAGGTCTTGCTTGAGTGGTAATAATTCCTTTTAGTCATATCAGGCTCTTGATCCATATTTGAATGAAAGAATCAGGCACGAATCCAGCAAAATTATTATCGAAAACAATGAGAATTCTGATGAAAACGGCAACTTGACTTGACTGAGTTGAGCCCAAGTGTAAGATTGATCAAAATTAGTATTAGATCAAACAAAAGTAAAACAAAACTCGACAAATGGGAAAATCTACTCAATGTAAAATCTTTGATAACTGATAGATGAATGATTTAAACTTAAAATCCATTCTAAATAAATTAAAGAAAAAAGCTTTTAATGCTCAAAACCGGAAAAAGTATGAACACATATGATATAACCTCATTTAGAAGGACCAACCAGCTGCTGAACTACTTCTTCCAAAAATCAATGAAACACAATAAGCAACTCTGCGAAACATTCAGCGACATCGATAGTATTTTCCCAATGAAAATGACTAGTTTCAGCAGAGAAAAGAGTATTCCTTCTTTATTATTCATAGTCGTGTTGTCTCGCAATACAAAGATGAAACATTGCACTCCAAAGACAAGCAAAGAGGCCAAGATATTTAAGAAGGCTTCTCTTAGCAACTCAAGAGCCACAGTCTTGAGAAAATCCAGAGTTCAGTATAAACACTTCAAAAACGCAAATTTACCAAGAGTGGATGCCAGGAGAATGACGTTTTACAAGTATGATTTTCATATTCATTAATAGAGATAGCAAGACTTCGAATATTAGTAGAGATATTAGTCCTTCTGATTCCAAGACTATCAAACCAGATTTCAACCCATATGATTTAAGACAGAAAAACTTTAAATAGAGTCCTCAACAAGAGCTATAGCAGCAACCGCATTTCAAGAACGACCAAATTAATCAAAAATTTCAACCTATCCGGCACCTGTCTAAACCCAGTCCTTCCCGCCCCATTCATAAGCCCCACCCTCCCACAATCCCCTTACATAAACCTCCTACACCCCCACCCCACCTTCCCAGACGGAACCACTCCCAAATCTCCCACTCAAAATCCAGTCACCCACTCAAAATCCCCAGTCATCACATCTGGCCTATCCTGAACGCCCACTGGGACCAAATCCTTCAGAAGTCATACGCTTAAAACCTCTAATTCTCAGTGTGAAGTCTATCAACCAATTATGTCTATCAGGGTCAAGCTGGCTTATAAGAACAAGACCAGACTTAATGAAGGGGTTTCTAAGGTAACTTAGAGTCTTATTTGTAGAGTTAATTGTAAAAAAATTGTTATGATTTGAAGTTGATAATGGGATAGATTTTTCAAAGTGGATTTGTGTATAGGAGGGAGTTAAGGTGGTGGGTTTTTGGAGAGGTGGATTTAGAGAAGTTTGAAGTGAGTTTTGAGAGGTGGAGAAGAAATATTTTTTGGGTTGGGAGATGAGAAGGGAGTTGGAAATAGGATATTTAGGATGAATAGTGAAACTCAATATTTTAAGAACAATTTGGGGTTTTGGGGTTTTGGGGTTTTGGGGCG